TCAACTTCAAGAGTATGAGGAAAACTTGACTCATCCTCATCATGATCTCGGAAGGCGTCATCTATGACGACATCACTACCGCCAGAGTAATCGACGTCCTCCTCCTCCTCCTCTTCATCTGTGGAAGAGATGATGGTTGTAGCATCCATCGCTCCTGCATAAAGTTGGAACAAACATGAGGTGATCAGATTCAACTTTATAATTTAAGGAGGAATAAAATAATTTATACCTTTCGAAATGATCGGTTGAGTGTCTTTGGCCTCAGAGGTCGAGGGAGTCGAGACGGTAGGTGGAGTCACTCCCGAGCTTGGTTCAGGATCAAGTATGGCATGGCCCTCCCCTACTTTAGCAGTTGTCGCTGCTTCATTATGGTGAGCCTTCTTAGCCACCTCTCCATCAAAAGTCCCAACATCTGCCTCCCATTAACATTTCGGCAAAATTGGGAGATCAGGAGAAAAAGCTGGCATCTGTAGACATTCGACAATGGGACACCTAAGTTGCTCCAGGAGTGTCCCAGCCCGTAACTCCTCTATCATTTCAGTCTCTCTATAAGAGGGGAGCTGAGTGAGATCATATGGAGCTTGAAGTTCCATGCCCGAAAAATCGTCCAACCCCTCGTAGAGCTCCTCATAAGCTTCTAAGTCTTCTTAAGAAACCTCTTCAGATGCTGCGGCTCTGTGCTTTTCCCACCTTGACGTGCGGGAACTTCTCATGAGTGATGCCTCCGCACCATCAGACAAGATTCATGGGGATTGAACCCCTTTGGAGTAGCACTTGCGCTCTGATACCACTTATAATACATAAGTGTGTGGCGGAGCATGCGGTCCCTGAGCGGCAACTTGAAACATGCTCCAGTTCATCTCACGTGGGTCCAGAACAAACCCCGCATGCTATTTATCAACCCTCCCTCATAACTTAACTGAGAGTTGATATTCCCTATGTATAGTTGATCATAACCGAATTGACAGGTAAACTTGCAGGGAAGATAGGGCTTCATGTAGCACAATGAGCACGTCTGAAGGACATGATAGCCTGGTCGAATGTTGACCAGCCATCGAAAGCCACCCAAGGATAAAGTTGTATGATTGTCTGCCATTGATGCGTCTCGAAGAAACTCGTCTCGAAGAAACTCACCTTATCCTCTATCTACAAAATAGGGGAAGCACCGGTAGAAGTTGTAATTACCAAAGAAAGACAACACTTTCCTCATCTCTGCAATTTGTTTGTACTTCCACGTTGACTTCTCTAGCCTCTAAAGAAAGGGAATTAGCTTCCCTTCTTATCGTATAGCTGGTGCACTCATCAGGCACTCACAATGCAGTACATACCATGCCATCAAGTAGGTATATGGCAAGTTGAGATGGGGATTTAGGGTTTTAGCTATCTCTTCTCTCCCTTCCGCCTCAACAAATGACACTCTGCAGAACTGTTTCGTCAGGGTCTGGAGTCCACTTTGTATGCATGCTACCATGTAGGCGTATAAAATTGCTTATAGGTCCCTTAGCATAGCTCGGCACAAACCGACGAACCAACGAGGCGACGAGGTTGACGAATCGCACGTAAGCAACGGAATACATCCATTCGCGTGTGGAATCAAGCCAAGTGTTCGAAGAGTCAACGAGTCATCCAACCAAGGGCAGACTCGGACGAATCACGATCGAATCAAGATCAGTTTTGGACTCGAACTCAGAAGTGGATTTACTGCCTAATCAGGAATCGGATCTACTACCAAATCAGATCAACAAATCAGCCCAGATCTGTGCCTAGGCACAGATCTGGGTGCCCTATAAATAGGAGGGCCTTGGTTCATTTTCAAGGGTTGGAACTTTGAGAGCCGAAACTCTGCCGAATTGAAGATCGAGCGTGGAGTTTTGAAGACTTGAGAACTTGAAGATTCAGATCTGACTCTCGGCGAGCATCCGCGTCACAAAAGGCAGGATTTCGAGAGAGGTAAAAATTAGATCTGAGATCTACACGAGATCACACTCCGGATCAAAGCTTGGCCTTTGATCCCGAGAATTAAAGGCTACTATTTCCTTGGCGAAATAGTACCCTCGGCTATTATTTCCTTGGTGAAATAATACCCGTCGAATCGTGTAGATCCGACCGGATCTAGATCGCGCGGTGGTCCACGGATTAACCCCGGCGTCGGCAAAGAACCCACACAAAGCAAGAGACCGCAAAACAGGATCTTGCGATTCGTTCGACAAATAAGGAGAAAGTTGTAATTTTCTATTTCTTTTTTTATTTGATTTTCGTTGTAACCGGATCTAAAAAAGACCGGATCTTTTGTAACCAAAAAGCAATTACTTGAGATAACAATGAATTCAATGAAGGCAATTTTCACCGCGAACAATCTGGCGACCACAGTGGGAGCCACCGATCTCGCTGCCGAGATCGTCACGTCACAGCCGCGGATCTCAATCCCGGTCGAGGAGGAGGTCTCTCACCCCAGTTGACGCCAAAGTTGCGTCAGGTGAAGTTCCACCGACCTCCAACGAGGTCAAACCTGTTCTCGTCAACACTTCTACTGTGGAAGGCGTTGTGACTCTCTCGAAGAGAGCCTGCCAGAGGCGACGTCAACGCCTTGCGTGGCAATTCGCCAAAGCAATGGAGTCCACGGACGGGGTCCGCTGCAACGCGGATCTAAAGAATAGGAGAGGCAAACAGCCTCAACAACTGAAGGATGGCGGTTCCTCCAAGCCGCCGACGAACGAATGGATCCGGGTCAAACGGAACCGTTCGACACTCGAAGAGCGGATTCACAAACGCCGCGCATTACTTGCACAAGCAAGAATCCTTGTGCAGAAGGCCGAGGAATTGAAGAAAGGAAGAGTGGCCAAGAAGCCGCCATCAACCCGCCAAGTGTGGAGGCCGAAGCAGCCTCCAACCAAAGTTCAACCACCGGCGAAGCAACCCATATCGCCGATAATTCCAAAAGCTTCTCCGGGAGATCATGCAGAATCGTCCCAAAGGAAGAAGCCAGTCTTGGAGCGCCTCGGTCCGATTCCCGACGAGAGAGGCAAAGCTCCTGTTCAAGATCGTTTGGGCCCGATGAAGAAACCCCGAACGACGCAACATACTGAGGGTCGCTGTTACCCTCAACATGACAAAGAAACCAGGGCAGCTACGCGCACTAACTTGCGCATTGAAGTCCAGGAGCCCGCCGAGAACTCACGCCCAAAAAGGCATGTTTCGAGGCGTGTAACTTTCGAAAACCCTAAGAAAGTAATTCCCCCTCAGAAGGAAACGTTATCGTCTGATGGTGATAGCGTTATACCTGTGAAGTCGTGCCAACACACGATAGGTTACTCCGATCGTCAAGCGGACAAGTTGTACTATCGTGCTGGGGGTACGAATAAAACCAGGAAAAGGAGTCCCCAAAAACAGGAAACTCAGTGCCCCTGTTCCAAACTCATTCGTGCAGTATTGTCTGAATGCAGCTGCATCAAGGCGGTCCTCGAACGAGTTTCGGTTTTCGAAAGGCTCAGTACCGAAACGCCAAAGACAAGGCCTAGGCGTTTCCAACGAAGAAGAACGGTGGTTGAAGAGAGAGAATTTCCGAGGGTCGCCACTAATATGACCAGCAGAGGGACATCGGAGCGAGATAATCTCGAGTCAATTTGGAAAGCATCCCGGCCTAGAACCCGTCTACAGTCCGGAACCATCAAGCGAGCGACCTATGGTAGGGTTCGAACAAGGCTCCCCTTAGAAGATGAAGAATCTGATGCCGGCTCCGCGGTCGCATCAGATAATACAGTATCCAGCGAGGGACAGCCCCGCGAGGCGCTTATGATAAGTGCAGAGCAAGTGGCCAAAATGCTTGAAGACGCCTTAGCTAAGCAGCAGGAAACCTTCAGGTTCGAAATGCAGATGGCCATGCAAAACATGAGAGAAATGCATGACCAGCAAATCCAGGCATTGACGAACCAGCAAGGCGAGCCAAGTCGTCGTAACCCGGTTAATCTGGAAGACGAGGATACGAATGAAGCTCGTAATACCAATAATCCTCCCGTCAATACAGGGG